TATCAAAATGGAGTTACAGTTCAAAGCAACATTATAACAATCAGTAAGTAATACACAATTAATACATTATGATATTTACTTATTTTAAGGTACTCATGACCTGAACTTGACATTGATTAATGTTACATCAAACTCTGTTTGTGTTCAGTTTCAGTTTGTCAATGGCAGTACACTTTATATTGATTACATTCACATTATTGATAGTCAAGGCCAGTTTCATTGGGATGACCTCAAACCTCTTAGTGATTCATTGAACTTTATTAAGTGTTTTGATGACATACCAGCTGGTAATAACTTAACACTGTATGCATGTGAATTCGACACCTTTTTGAAGAACTGTATATCTAATTGTCCTGCTGTAATAACTGGTATTAATATTACTTGTAATTCTACTTGTTCAGTTGTAATGTCATCAGTTCATTCATCATCAGTATCACTCACATCAACAGTATTGACTACTCCATCAATGATGTCTGTATCATTGATAATATCTATTTCACGAGTAGTACCTATTTCATCAGTTCCAACTACTTCATCATCTACTTCAATTACTCCATCAATGACACTTTTACCAACAATGGTGCCTACATTGCCTGTATCAACTCCATCAATAATATCTGAATTTGAAACATTTCCTTCATCAGTGCTGACTACTTCAACTACTTCAACAGTACAGCAAGTTACAAGTAGCTCCATCATAAGCAGTACTACATATACTCCTACCATCAGTAGTTCTACTTCTATTCATACCACTAGATTAACTAGTACATTAGTGACAGGTACAGTGTATGTTCATTTGTGTAGGTATAATGTACTTTATTGTACACATAGGTACTTCAACTGCTACACCCTCATCAGTTCTAGTACCTTCTTCCCTAACTTCTTCATCTATTACTCTTTCATCCCTATCTTCATTATTTCCAACTACTTTATCTTCATCTCTATCTTCTTCATTCATAACTTCTTCATCCCAAACTCCTTCATTGACAGCTCCTTCATCCATATCTTCTTCTTCATCAATTATTGGACTGGCTTCTGGGATATCAATTGCACTACTAATTATAATAATTGGTATGTACATTATAATCAAATGTTGTCATTAATATGTACATTGTAGTTGTTATAGTAATTGTAGTGGTAGCAGCAACAGTTCAATTTAAAAAGAGAAGAGGAAGAATGGAAGTGACTACTGGTAACATTTATTCAACTCGACCAAATATGGTAAGAAACACTTCTTCATTTTAATGAAAGCCTAACTTATAAAATAAATTTTAGATTCCATTGAATGGTGTAGTGAGAGATGATCCTCCTCCTAATACTCCTCCAGCAGTAGTTCCCCCACCTATTTACACAGAGGTACATCGCTTTAAGGATAACAGTGAGAGAGGAGTGTATGATAAA